GCTATAAAGAGGTATCGACAAGAGACCAGTGCTATTAGCCTCAGACGCTATAAAGAGGTATCGACAAGAGACCAGTGCTATCAGCCTCAGACGCTCTATGAGCGTGTCGATAAGAGCCCAGTTCTCTCAGACTCAAGTGCTCTTTAAACGTATTGTTAAGTGAACAGTAAGTACTCAGCCTCAGATTCTCTATGCACTCATTATTAAGAGATCAGTACTCTCTGCCTCAGACGCTCTATGAACGTATCAACAAGGAGAAAAGTACTCTCAGACTCAGATGTTCTATGAACGTATCAATAAGAGACGCGCAACTGACAACAGGAACAAGTAAATCCATATAAAAACAAACATTCTTATATTAATGTAGCAGTTTCGCACTAACAACTGTATGGAAAGACAGTTCAAAACACTTTCGATTTCGTTTTAGACCTGTTACTGCTTAGAATGCCAACAATAAACCGAATATTAACGGAAACTTATTAACGACAAACTTGATAGTTTTAATTGACTAACATCAAACTGCTGAGCTTTAGATAACTAACATTTAATTGCAGCTACTAACTTCAAACTTCATACTTTTTATTAACTATTTCTTTTATTTCTATACTGATGAATCTCAAACTTCCGAACTTTAGATGACTAATATCTAATTTTAACGACAAACGTCAAACTTATTAACCTCAGGTGACTAACCTTTAATTAAAGCGATAAATAAGGACGACGGAAAACATATTATTTTCTGTTCAAACATTTTAATGTTTTTTCTTCATAACAAAAATCTGGAAAAAATAATCTAGAAATTACCTTTGCACAGAGTGACATAGAAAAGATGAGATTTAATTAAAGGAACGATGTTATTGAACTAAGTGTATGGTAAACAGATCTGGCTCGCGTGGCTTACTACTGCCCTCTTAGAATGACGTACATAACTCTAGCAACACCAAAATTGTTGTATTTTTTTTCCTCTTTAAACATTATTTTATTTCTATCATCTGATGTTTAAATAGTGTAAAATACTCAATCTGATTTGTTTCTCTATATAACATAAGCACGCGAATAACATACAGTATTCAAAGAACATTTAATAAGCTCCAGCTATCTGGGTATTAATATATATAAATATCTGATTATATAATAAAATATTTAGCTAAAGGGGGCCCCCATTTTTACATTACAGAATTGTCTTTCTTTATATATAAATCTCCCTTTTAAATATGTATTTTTTCAAACAACCAAGATAATTAAATTGGTGTGATTAAACCACATAATAATGAATTCCAAAAAGGGTTATTGCTCTTCGTTTGGTCGATATTCCAGGTCATCCAGTGCAGTAACAGATTATTATGATATTTTAGCTGACGGAAACAACCGTCTAAATCTTCTTTAAAACAACATATTTTAAATGTCATTTGTGCCAGAAGGAAGCTCAGGACAGGATGTCTCAAATTCCACGTTTGTTGTTGCGTTATTAATTCAAGATGATTTTGTGTAAATTGCAGAAGATGTTAGCAAATTCGCTACCCTCATAGGAGAATATTCGTGTGAGGATTTTTTATACTCTCGTAGAATCACTAACATTATTCATGTTCCGGAGTTTTACTCTCTCTATTTTTTAATTCACGGTGTTTCATGTATATATGCATCTCCACGACTGAAATAAACAGTTTAAGACACGTATTTAACCTATGCTTTTCGTGTTTCACGTATATATGCATCTCCACGACTGAAATAAACAGTTTAAGACACGTATTTAACCTATGCTTTTCTTCTTTTTTTTTTCCTATTGCGAGGCTTCACAATAACATGCTTTCTCTCTAGACTTTCTGTTTCTCGGGTTTATGGCATCACATTATCAAACCAACTTTATATCTTAATCTTGCTAATGTTACTATAGTACAGTTTTATCACCAATAAAAACGTAGATCATAAGCACGATCGAATTTAGTCTTAGTTAATCTGAATTATCAGTACAGAACCAAGATAAATGGCTATTCTAAGTATCTATGCTCGCATTAGTTACTTAGAACATTATCCTATGACTGTACACTTCCATATAAAGTGATACAGACCTGAACCAACTAGCGAATGAAAAGTCAACAAAGTTTTATTAATTTTAGCCAAACATTTAAATGAGTGTTACTAATAAAGATACAATCAGCTATGACCATAATAGTTTTTATTACGGGTACAAGTATCGAGATAACTGATACTTAAGAGTTAAATAGTACCACCTCAGTTTATAGTTTGGATTTGACTTTTCTGTTTCTATTGCTGAGACTTACAACGCTAGAATCCGGGTTTCGAAAGCCGTGGTGGGCAGAGCACAGATAGCCCATTGTGTAGCTTTGTGCTTAATTACAAACAAACAAATCTATTGCTGAGTTATAATCTTATAATAGGAAATAAATTATTTAAATGAAACATTTATAACGTAAAAAACTTTGTTGTCTATGATTTTATGTTTAAAATGTTTTAACGTTTCGTTTATAACCTTAAGCATTTAAAAATTAAGTGATAATAGAATTTTTTATTTGAAGGTAAATACAGATACATTCTACTTCCTTTGAATTTCAATATGTAATAGTTATTCTTCAGTACCTAATAAAATGTCATAAAAAAGGTTTATAGTTTTGTTATAACCTACCTGCATTAACAGCTTTGGTTGTCACAAACAAGGACAATTGAAGGCACATGAGAAGAGCTGACGCTGCCATCTGTTGGTTAAATACAAATATAAATACTTAAAAAGTAGCTTTAAAATAAATCATAATCCAAACACCATTTTGTTAAAATTTTACTCTTCTATCCCAAGATTAAAGAGCAAAAGGCTCATTTTAAAAGGTTTTTATCGATTTGATTTGATATACTTACAAAGATAGGGCGATTTAAATTATCCGTAAAAAAACAAAAACTTCTATAGAAAGGAATGAATAAATTATAATTTATTCTTTTTTGGATGAAAGTAATGTATTTTGGAAGTAAATAAATAAAACTTTAAAGACTGACCAAAAATAAAACTGGAGTATTGTTATAAAAGTATATAATGAAAACATCGAGTATGATAAGGTTACAATAATACAATGAAAAATGATAAATTTAGCAGTAAAGCCATTAAAACAATTTTGCTAGTTACATAGTATTTTATGATATATTTATATAACACGTTACGTGGTTCAGCGGTATATCTGCGGGCTTGTAATTGATAGCCCATTGTGCAGTTAGTCATCACCACCCACCGCC